ACTTCCTGTAAAAACCTGCAAAATATGAAGCATCTGGAACGCAACTATTAAGGTGGCCTGTTACATATTTTCAATTGTCTTGCCTTATGTAAACACAGGGTTATTTCATTTAAAATTTTGCAGCTTTTAACACCACTGGCTGAGAAATGGGGATGCAAAAGCAATTAAAAGTAGCGCAGCTGATGAGCAGTGTTGCCACAACGCCTCAAAATAAAATGTATCTTAAAAGTGCGAAAATTGGATCAAAGAATCATATCAGAAAAAACTGCCAAAGTTTAAAATAATTCTACATATTTGTTTTTGTTTTTAAGAGATTATTATTGCTATCTTATTTGTAATCCATATGAAGCATATTTAACTGATGTAAACATAAGCATTGGATGTTTACATCAATCTTATCTAGTCTTATTTTAATTTTGAGCTATTTTGCAGTTTTTATACAGCTAAATAGCACATAAATTACGTAATTCACGTAGATATATCAATATTACTGGGAAATCTTTAGCTATTTCTACAACGAAAGAGGATAGACGCCGTTTTATGAAAAGACACCCCTCATCCCCCTCCCCCACCTTAAGACCCCTTGGGAATTGTTTGAAAATAGCGAATATTTGGATTTTTTCCAAAACGATTATAACCCTCACTACTCCTTTCTCTGTTGCCCAAGAAGAGGGGATGAACACCTTTTGCAGAGAGCACCTTTCTGCGTAGGCGGCCTTCGGCCGCGCGTACGGATTATAACCCTCACTAAGTAGAATTCTCTTTTCTGTGTTGCCGAAGAAAAGGCGCCTAACAACTTTTTCAGAAAACAACTACCTGCGTAGGCGACCTTCGGCCGCGCTTAGGGATTATAACCCTCACTAAGTAGAATTCTCCTTTCTGTTTTGCTAAAGAAGAGGGGCTGAACACCTTTGCAGAGATATTTCGTGGATATTTTTTTTGACAAGCTCAGCTCGGAAACTTGCAAAAAATACCATATTTCCAACCGACATTATTAATAAATTAGTGCACAGATATAGTAAATAATATTTTTGTTATAAAGCGTGAACTGTTGTCTACAAGTGTGTGTAAAAGGTTTTTGATTCGATTCACGCACAGCAACCCAAAGTCGTTGTACAAATTCATAAAGGGTACCCATATTACGTTCCACATTTCGTTTAAAATGCCAGATTTCCTGCAAATACATACATTCGAATTTACAAAAGGAATTTCACTACTAATTGCCTACTTTGCGTACTTTTCTACTACCATTTTCGCAACAAGGGAATGCATTCTTGCCCTTTCTCTGTCCTTCGTAAATGCAACCTTTTGTAAGGGAGTGTCAAACCGCAGCTGTCAATAATTATCTAACCTTGTATTATTCATGATTCAATAATACAAGGTTCGATAAACTGACAGTTGTCTCTCTCGCACCGCTCCCTTAGCAGTGGCACCGTGTTGCTTCTTTGCAAATTTACATGGAAACAGTGTAGCTTTGGGTTAAATAAAGGTATAAGCTTTTGTGCAATATGTTTATTTGTATATGCATATGAAGCATATTTAACTGATGAAAACATAAGCATTGGATATTTACATCAGTCTAATAGTAGTCTTATTTTAATTTTGAGTCATTTTGCAGTTTTTATACGGCTAAATAGCATATAAATTACGTAATTCACGTAGATATATCAATATTACGTTCAAAATTTCGTTTAAAATGCTAGATTTCCTGCAAATACATTAGAATTTACGAAAGGAATTTCACTTCTAATTGACTACTTTGCGTACTTTTCTACTACCATTTTCGAAACTAGGGATTGCATTCTTGCCCTTTCTCTGTCCTTCGTAAATGCAACCTTTTGTAAGGAAGTGTCAAACCGCAGCTGTCAATAATTATCATGGACCAAAAATACAAGATCACGTAAGAACGCGACGTTGTATTTGTAACTGGTTTTGAGAAAAAAGTTTGCGAAAGCGGGTTCGTCAGCTGAGCGTTTGTTTACATCACAAGCACCACTATTTTACACTTTTATTCAAGTAAAGAAGAGTTAATTCAACATGACAACACATTTTAAAGCATTTTGATGCATCATTTTACCTAAATTGTGCGTTTAAAGTGGCTGACAATAGTCTTGGCTAATTTTGGTTTTTGTTGTTTTCTTTGCTTTGTTTACTTTTCGCTCGTTTTCCAGTGAAACAAGATGGCGTAGAACCCGCTAAAAAAATCGACTTTTTTCACTCTCTTGTTCTTACGTGATCTTGTGTCTTTCGTTCATGAATAATTATCTAACCCTGTATTATTGAATCATGGTGCTGTCGCTTCGCTACGAAATTTGTTGCTTCACGATAGCAAAGCAAAAGCAAAATGGAGAGTGGAATGTGACAGTGTTGCCATGCATATAAGATGATACCAAACGTTTTGCGGTTGTATTTTGGTAACTCGATATCTTTAATTTTTGTTTAACTCGTTCCAGATCAATCAGATTTGCTTGCATCTTATAAAAATCAACATCATTTGCTTATCATGGCATTCATATGTACATACATTCGTACATATACGACAAAATCCGTGTGCTTACTTATTTTCATACAAGGGAGAAAATGCTTTGGCATTACTGGTTTCTCGGCTGTGATGAATGCAAAGCGCATCAATTACAGGTGATAGCGATAGAAGCTATGCTTCTTCTTATGAGCACGCTTGTGTCAAATTATCGTCTGTTTTGCTTTATTTACATCTCCGCGTATACATACACATATACGTCTATATATACCCTACACACAAATGCTCCCGAAATCTTTAAGAGTGTCGGAAATTTGTTACGATTCCTTTATAAATCTTTAAAGAAAAACATATGAAACGGTTGACAAGAACTAGTAAAGAAATTTCTGTACGATTTCTTAAAGGAAATTATAAAAAAATTGTGAAACCTTTCG